CCTGAGTCGACGATGAGCTTCGGTAAGATCTTAGCAAAAGGTACCTGAAGCAGCTCGAGGGTCATGGGGACACAGCGCAGCTCCTTCAATAGGTCCAAAGCTCCAGCCTGCAGAGAGGGGAAGAGGATGGAGGTGTGTTTACATCCATTTGAACACATCTCATACTGAACCTTCTTGGCTGTGCGTGGATTTGTGTGCTCTGTCATAGGTGGACATTAACTACGGCATCAGCGTGGTGACATTTCACACAAGGCTTGGTTTGTTATGAATCTTGAATTCTGCTGGGTTAACTTCTGTTTGTTATTATTTATTATTATTATTAATGTTAGGTTGGACAAAATCAATGACTTAACCTTTTGTTTACTAGTTATTATTCTTTAATTAATGACTGATTAATTGACAGAAAATTAATCTACAACTTTTTTGATCACTGATTAATCGTTTAAGTGAAATATAAAGCAAAAAATTACAAATATCAGCTTATATATTCAATTAAAAATACAGGTTTAGGACTGTTGGTTGGTCATTATAAAATATTGTAACATTTAACTTTGAGCTCTATGGAACTGTGATAAGCATTTGTCACTAATTACTAACTTTTTTAACAGGAAATAATAACTGGATAATAATTGGCACGTTATTACACACTGAAGGTAATCCTTAGTAACCCTCAGTAACGTTATTGCGTTACATTACTCGCAGAGCAAAAGCTAGGCGGCACAGTTGCGTTAAACGAAACAGCCGCTTGCAAAATGCCAAAACACAACCGAAACAAAAACCACACTGCACAACAACACTGCCATTCTGTCTCACACTTTTAACAGCAGTCTTCTTCATTCCTGCAGCCTCAAAGTGACCACGTCCAAACATGTTATCGCGGGTGAGAACTAACAGGCAGCTATGTGGCTAAGTGCTAACGTTAGTCACAACAACAGGTAGCGAGGGTTAGCCGCGGAGCTAATCGCTGAAGGTACGGGTGTAGTGACCGGCTGGACGCAAACTAAACACCCAGCTGATGTGACACACTGGTGGAACAGTGTGTTGACAAAAAAGTGAACCGGCTGGAGGCTCATTTAGCAAAAACAGTCGGCCCCCCCCTTCTCCTCGTAGTCCATTAGCGCCAACGCTAGCTAAACATCAACAGCGATAAGCGTTCATTCTTCTCTCAGGCAGCTCACCCCGTTTTTCTTCTGCGCCATTTTATCCATCTTCTTGGCAATTCTGATAATCTCCTCTTCCTCCTTTTTGCCCATGGTGACCGATCTGGTGAAATCCCCCCCCAAAAAAGTAGGCGTAAATGGGGAAGATATATCCGCGACAAAGACCACGCCACTGAGGTGAAAGCGGCGGCGGCGTCTACTTGACGGGACCGCACACTGACCCGACGCTGTGCAGCAGACATGACTGGTCGATGCAGGATGAGTTCAGGGGGAGTTAATCGAGACGGAACCCGGGATCGCTCTGGGAGGTGTCAGAGCAGTGGGTGTTCACCACTCAGTGCGTTAATCCGACAAGGTGAGCTGTTTACACGAATATTTAGATATAGCTGTATCTTTTTCTAGAGTTCTGCACGAATATGTCTTCCTGTCACCAAAACAAAGCCTGTATTTTGGCAATATCGCTACCCGTCGTTAGGTAGCGCCAAAGTGCCAGTTGCATCTCTGCTTGGGTCAGCAATGGACTCTAGCTGGAAGCCTTTTTGGGTTTTACATTCATAATTAATCTCATGTAGAGCTTTACATAGTTTAGTAATGGATTTTAGTAATAGATTCATCATTTCATGTATTTTCACTTATTGTAATTAATAAAATGTTAATATGTGCTGTTTTTAAAAGGCTTTTATGGTATTAAATAGACATTCTTTGGGTTTAGTCTAGTAGTTTTGTCTGAGTCAAGTCAAAACGTCCTATAGGATTCGTGAAAGGCTGGGGCCCTAGCGCTTGATCTGTGAGGAAGCAAGCGAGCTGGGGATGGTGCTAAAACCTTGCTGTAATTTGTGTGATTGATGAGAGGTGATTTTGAAGTATGTTTCTGATGGGTACGCACCTGTGAACGCAGCTTAATCATTGGAAGAAATAAGCTTGCGGATCATGGACGCATGACATGCAAGTATAAGACAGTGAGCCTTCACGGTAGCTTGTCAAAAGCAAGGGTTCGCACGCATTCAATTAACTCTCAGCGACAGACTTGAGCAGAAGAGTAGAATGTGTGGTGGTTTCTTACTGATCGTTGTGTTTTTTGGTTCTAATAACGTGTGAGGGAGAGCGCTTAATGGTGTTTGACAACCGTTCCACCTGAGTGCTTGGGTTAACCGCTGTAGTACAGCTGTCCGAGAAATAACTGGTAGTACCGCTGATAGGGAAATCGCCTTGCGGCATTTTTAAGGAGTCACAAGCTAAAAAGGTTGAAAAAAACCTATTTAGGTTTTTGTTGGAACATTGATGGTAGCAGTACTTTTTTGATACTGTTGAGATTTTCACTCCTAGAAAAGGTCGCTGGCAGGTACATAGGGTGTAAAAATACTTATTTTGCTCCAAGCAGCAGTTGACAGTTATCACTGTATTATTTATTATAATTAACAGTCAGTAAAAGAGCTTCTGTCTTGCTAAGGGCCTTTGGTCGGACTCCTTTGAAGAAGGAATGGCTGTGACCTTTGAGAAACAGGATCTAGGCCACGATGATGGTGTACTGTTGATCTTATACTGCAATTATATGACACTGACTGACTCGCTAATTTGGATCTTACTAATCCAAACAGATCAGCATGTGACATTACCACCTAGTGATTGAAGGTTAGGCAATCATTGAACAAAACTGTAACATACTGCTAATTACAGTACATAAAATATACATCATACAGTCCAAAAATATCAAAAACTGTGATAAAATTCACATTATATTCACCGGTTTATAAAGAGTTTTTGGTAACTCACTGGCAAAAGTATTTAAATGAAGCTTGTTATTTTTATTAATTACTCTAACACACATTGAACAGCATTATCTAATGCAATATTCCTCATATTGAACCCTGTTTGACCTACACAGGCCCTTCCTTCCATCCCCCCATCAGCAAGTCTCCATCTTGGAAGACACTACACGTGCTAGTGGGAAGTATTAGCAGCTTTCACTCAGTCAGGGGCAGTTGGTAATTGGCACTCTGTCTGCTAACTGCAGTATAGTGACACAGCTTTCACCCCCTGATGCAATTAGATCGTTAGCTACCCAACATAAATGAAGTCTGCTACATGTTACAAACCTTTGGATGTACTGTGTTAGCCTTCCTAGTTTGGATACAACGCTGCAGTATTCTCCAAATCGTGGTCACAACTCTTATTAATTACATTCACCAGGATAGTAAACAAGTGCAAATACTAATATATTGTGTGATCTGAAATCTGATGGTGGATTTCCAATACCCGCTGTGAGGTAAAAAGTGCTCTCTTAAGACCTTATTCTGCCTCATGCTGTCAGCAAGTGCGCAAAATCTTTAACCTAATCCCTATTAGGCCAGGACTTCTCCAATCTGATTATGCAGGCTGCTTGCAAATTAGAAATAGTCCCAGCCACCTGCGGTATCTGTTTGGAGCTGTAACGATTTGCTAATATAATATGACCTGGAGGGTTCATATACCTTCATGAACTTTCACCACCTTCTTCATATTTACTTATTATGGGACTTTCTAAGGCTTTAACTCAGTTAATTTCTTATTGGTCTGTTAGTGCAAATGGCCAGTGAGATGTTTATGGCCTATGAGGCTGAGAAGACTTTGGGAACATTTCCTTTTTGCTTTTTTTTGCACAGATTTTCAGTCTGTGTCGGTACAGTTCCTCTTTGGTTCCTTCATTTGTTTGTTACCTTACCTTGATATGCTGATTAAGTGTGAGCAAAGATTAAGCAAATTGGCAGTGATGTTGCATGTCCCAAAATAGCCCTCAAACGCTGCTGAGAGGCTTTGACCAGCACTCGGGGAATAACGGATGCACCCTTTCTGTTGTTTTAGTCTTCATAATTAAGGTGAAATGTGAGTTATACGGTAAGTCTTCTTCATTACACTTTTGTTGACCAGATCAGTTATTTTAAGTATCTACAGGGTGTAATTTGTCTAATGAGTTGATGAGTTTCAGGTGTGTATGGATTTTGTCTGAATCTGTATCTACATCTCATTAGACTTGTGTTGTTTACAGTAACAGTGGTTATTATTTTAACAATAATGATGTAGAATTTTGAAACATTGTTCTTCACACTAACGCTTTACTGTAGACTATTATAAAACCTCTGTTACAACCTACACAACAGAGGCTCTGTGCTTTTCTACTGGGCTGTAATTAGGCCTACTGATATTATGTCACCTACACCCATATATCCTATTATTGCATTAATATCAATCTACAAAAGACACATTTATAAATATTACACGGAGAACTGTATGTATGCATAACAAGAACACTACTGTACATTTAACAATTTAATTCAGAATATACTGTTCAACATATACATTTAACACTGACCATATTACATAGTGTTTCCTCAGTTATATTGTAATGTTGTGCAGCTGCCTCGTGCATGTTTCTAGTCCACTTAATTCTCACAGTAAACAACACAGTAAATGTACCCAGTGTTGATTTGAGTGCTCATGTGGGTATGTTAAGATGATGATAGAAAAATCAGCCAGTTACAGTCAAATCCAACATTGACAATTTCTAACAACACACTACTTTTGGCAAAGCAAGAGAGTTTAGAGAAGGGAGGTAGTGGGACATGGATTGTACTGCAGGAAAAAAACACCTGTCATCATTGAAATTCATTGTAACTGACTGGATATTTAAGCTAACCACAGTCTCCCTATATGAGGAGGCAAACTACAAACTAAGAGGTGTATGTATAAGTGTTTGACAGTCAACTAAGACAACGTTTTAGTGGAACGTTTAAGGTGCAGCTTTCCATAATTTAAACAGCTTTCTCCCTCTCTCTGCCTTCTTTCCAGCCACCTCCACTCAATATGAGCAACACACCCATCCAGGAGCCACCTGCCCAGGAGCTGTCCTCTGGCAGCGGGCAGACATTACCCTCCCGACCCTTCCAGCCAATCCCTGATCCCTCAGCTTCTAAAAGAGTATGCTTCTACAAAAGCGGTGACTATAAATTCAGTGGGCACCGCATGGTCATCAATGCCCGCACCTTCAAGACATTTGATGCTCTACTGGATGCTCTGTCCAAGAAAGTGCCTCTGCCGTTTGGAGTGAGGACCATCACCACACCTCGCGGGACCCACCTGGTTAAGGCTTTAGATGACCTCCATGATGGGGGATCATATGTGTGTTCTGATCAGAAACGGGTGAAGCCGTTAAACCTGGATGAAGTGAACCGGCGGCAGGTACCGTGGAATACCACCAGGCCCTTCAGCGCAGGGAGACGAAAGCGGCTAGGACTCCAGTCTAGCAGAAGGAATGAAGTCACCAACAGGCCACCAAAGGTCACTGAGAGGGTGGCAGTACGGACACCAAAGAAACTTGTGGTCATCAAGAATAGGGATCCTACTGTTCAACATACAATTGTGTTGCAGAAAAGAACAGCGCCAACCTTTGATGCTTTACTGGATTACCTTTCCCAGATTCTGCAGTTCCCAGTGCTGAAACTCTTCTCTACAGATGGCAGAAGAGTAAGTATTAAACTGAAAATGGAGAATAATTGTGGATTAATGCTAATTTAAGGCACCTCCTGAAAATATTGTATGCAGCTTCTTTTGGGTTTTGCTTTAAGATCCAGTGTGCAACATTTAGAAAAATAAGAGTCCTGTTTTTTCTTTACCTTAGAATGAGCCTTTTTATCTACAGAGGGAGCAGGTTGTTTTCCACAGAGTCTGCCATGTTAAACCGCCATGTTTTTACAAATCAAACATTGGCTCTGGATAGGTTCGTTTGCTTTTTTGAAGAATTTCACAGCCACTGTAGCTTCTCCTACACACTTGGTTGCAATATACAATTTCACAGCTTGATGTCACTAAATCCTACACAGTGGTCCTTTAATCTGGTCTGTATAAAGTTTTTATGGGTAAATATGTTCTTAAAAGTAGTTATTACTACAGCTTATTGCTGAGAGAGAAAATCATTTCTGACATAAAATAGTAGGGTAAAGCCAGATGTCCAGTGAGCCATCACGCACAATAGCAGCACCCTGACTCTGTTTGACCTGAATGGAACAGAACCTTAATTAGTATCATTTGTAACACCTTGTTTTTATTTCATGTCAAAATGGCTGCTGTGAAAAAGGTCTAATCAATTTGATTTAATTCAATTTTATTTGTACAGCGCCAAAGCATAATAGTCAAATGTAGACTGTACTGTAATTACTTACAGAGACCCAACAATTCCCACTAACTTAACATAAAGACTGGAAACAAACCAGGGAGGACTCCAATAAGTCACTGTGCCCAGGAGAAATACTCCAGCATACAGTTTTAGAAGTACTGGTGGGTGGAAATTGTTACTCTCAGACAGGGCCAGGCTGTTTTCTATGTTTTTTACTGTCTTTATAGTAAGCTAAACTAACCAAATACTGCCTCCAGCTTTATGTCGAACAGATAAATAGAAGAGAGTGCTATCAAAACAAGATTGTTTTTGGTAAAAAAAAAAAAAAAACTCAAATATGATGTCTTGACACATATTTAGCTTTCAACAAGAGATAAATGATCAACCAGGACACAAGATCAGAACTAGGAAAATGTATTTTTCAATTAACTGTATCTTTACGTTTTAAACTTGGAAATGTTTTTGTGACTTTTCAGTTAACACCATGCTGCAAGCTCCATTAATATGAGCACTTTTAGAGGTTCTTATTTATGATGGCTTTAAAATGTGCTTTTCCCAAGGCTTCCACTTTTGTTTTCAAAGTCTATAAAAGCACCAAGCTTTATATAGAAACACTTCATGGAACGAACAATGAATGCTAATGTCTGACTGAGCTTTTACTGAAGTGTTTATTTATTCATGGCTTTGAACCAAAAAACACCAAAGTAAATAAAGAAATCATGTGTATAGCATCCACCAAGATTTATAGAGGACTATGATGATTTTGTTTTTAGATTCTTGGTTTGGGAGTTACTATATTAATGTACAAAAAACTGCACAACTAAAATAAATAACTGTTAATTTTCCTTAGTTTAATTTTCATTGTAACTTGAAACTTGACCCTGTAACGTTAGACATTTTAAGAATTCCAAGAAGGGCTCAGAGGAGCTATCAACATCTCTACCCCCTGGTGTGTTATTACCCTGTAATCCCGTTTCCCATGTGTCTTTTAAGAGCAACAGACTTCCTGTCACAGGTCATGACTCATTAAGGTTGAGAACCTTTAAATGCATCTTATTCTCTCTGAACTTCTTTATTATCTGTGACCTCTGGTCGGTTTTAGGACAATATGTGGCCCAAGAAATGTGTAGTGTAGATCAATTTTTGATACTGCAAATTGAACATCTCTTTTCAGTTTACATGTATCTAGGAATGCAGTACATAAAGTGAGTAGTGTAATGAAAGGTGTTTCTGCTCCTCCTTCAGGTTGATGGTCTTGCAGCACTCATCCTGTGCTCTGGAGTTGTTGTGGCTGCCGGCAACGAGTCATTCAGATTAGGCAACTATAGTTTTCACAGAAGCGGGCAGATGGCACAAGTAATGTACGTGGATACTGCGGAACCATCTATGTTGCAGCCCAGTGCTCGTAAGTATTAATCAGTACTACTGTAAATTGCTCTGTAAAGTATGGCATATGACTTAGTAGCATAGTCAATAATTGCAAATGCAAGGAACACAAACAAAGAAATAAAACTAAGACAGTTAAAGATTTTCACTGTGTAGAAGCAAATTTTGTCCGCAGACTTTTTATTTGCATTATCACATGTTGTCCTGTCTGGACAGTAACTTTCATCTTATTGAACTTATTATTATTTTAACAGCTGGTTATCGGTATTTCCTAAAATGTCAAACTATTCTTTTAAATATTCAATTTCAAACTAATATTAATACTCCATAATGATTTTATAATGTCCTTAAACATTGGTTTATTTTGTTCCCTTTGTCCTTCTCCCTCTCTTTCACAAACACCTCCAACCAAAGAGAACAAATCTTTTTCGAGTGGAAGAGGCTCAAGGAATTTTTCCTTGTCGTCAGAGAGATATATTGCCGACCAGATAAACAAGTCTCGAAATGGAAGCATGACCAGCCGACTGCATCACACCAACGAATCCTTTGAAACAGAGGTCAACCATCGTCACACACCCATGGAGACACATAGAGCTGGGAGGGTAGACAGCGAGCGTCATGCTTGCATTGTACCTCAGGATGATGACATTGAAAAATCTTTCCGTGTGAATCAAGATGGCAGCATGACCGTGGAGATGAAAGTTCATCTCACCATTAAAGAGGAGGAGATGCTCCACTGGACTACCACACTCAGCCGCTCCAGCCTTAGCAAGGGGACAGTTTGTGCCTCGATTTCTGAGTCAGGCAATAGCTCACCTGACTCAAACAATGCTGTTGCCAAAGACTCTTCTAGCATCAGTGAAGATGAAGCAAAAGAGGAGAACCATCCCGCTGGAGCTGGAGAGGGTGTCGGCTTTAACGACGAGCGAGTGTATGAGGGCTATAATTCCACGGCCTTGGGAAAAGCAAAAATAGGTTTCAAACGCACTCCTACGCCGGGTCCTCGGCATGTTAATAAGAAAGCGTCTGTTGAGAGTGTGAAGACGGTGACAGAGTCGGGGGTTCAAGAGAGCACCCTAGGACATTATTCCTACATGGAAAGGACGGCTGACGGTGAGACAAATGAGGGTTACTGCGTTGTCAGACACAGCAGCAGCAACAACAAGCCGATCCCAAAACCTCGGAAAACGGCATCTGCAGGTGCAAGTAAGAAAGGCTCCCACTCCTCCATGAGGTCATCAGGAGTGGCTGAGGTCCTCCAGATACAGAATAACGGGATGGAGGTTACAGAGACTGTGATGCATATTTATGAGAGTCAAGGCTGCTACGACAACTATTTTGCAAATGAGGATTATAGCGCAGATGGTGTACCTTTGCAAGGTTCTACTCCATTCCAAGAAAGCAGACCATCCAGTGTCTCAGAGCCACATTCATCCAGTTATGATTGCGATATAGATTTTTCTACTACCGACTCCCTACAAAGACAGAAAGAGGAGATGTTATCATTGTCATCAGAGCCTCTAGCTTCAACACAGGAGATTACGAACAATTTGTCTTCAGTGACTGAGAACAAAGCCATAACTCCAACAAACTCTCAAATACAGGGGACAGTAAAAAAAGGCAAAACTCCTAAAAGTGAGAAGAAGGAAAAGACAATCAACCCTGCTAGGAAACAGAAGAGTTCAACTTCAACAAGCAGCTCAGATAAAAAGCAAAAGGAACGCATAATAACCCCCTCAAAACATAGCAAACATTCATCTGCAGACAAGCTCAGCAGCAATGCTAGTGAGGGAAAAAAGAGTTTGAGTTCACCAGAAAGTGATAAAAGTGGTCAAAAGAGTAGAGGAGCAAAAAAGACTCAAATTAAGAAAGTGAGTAGTGATGAAAAGACACACAGGAAAGAGCAGGCCTTATTAGCTAACCCTGAAAAGTTGAAAAAGACCCCACCTCAGAGAAAAAACACAAATAAAGCAGCTGCTAAAGATAATGGCCATAATGTAAATACTCCAACTGGAAGGCCTCAAATGAAGAAGAACATGTTAGACATTTTACAACCCAAAGAAACACTCTTGCCAGGCAAAAAGACAATTCGCAAGCCAAAATCCATGATTGAAAACAAAATATCATCACCTATAAAGTCTGTAGAGTTGAATGAGAGTTTGTCTATGCCTTCTCTCAATCCTTCACCCTCTGAAATCCACCAATATGTTGAGAACTGGTTGGAGAAAGCCAGCCCAGACCCAGTGCCATACACTGAGGAGGCCATCGCAGATCAGCCAGAGCCTCAGCCAAAGGTTGTGTTTAAGATAGGTGGTGATTCTGAATCAGATGAAAAGAGTGAAAGCCAGTATAATCTAGATGAGTATTATCCATCGCCTGGTGATGTTCAAGAAATGAAGAAATCATCTTCTTGTCTTTCAGTACCTCTTTGTCATGCAGAGCCAGCTACAGGTCTGCTGCAAAATGAACAGAATGTGAGAGGTTTATGTGTTTCAATGCCGAGTGTCAGAGTCGATCCTGCACACCAGGAGAACAGACTGAGGGCACACAAATCTGCAGAGGCCATCTGTCCAGCTGACGATGAATCATCTACATCCAACGTTTTAAGTCCCAAAACAAAGATAAGACCTGTCCTGCGTCAACTTTGTTCATCGATTCAGTGCATCAGAAGGGCGTCTGACACCAACACAACATCCAATCTTGAGAAGTCCAACAGTCTTCCTGATTTCCAAACGCAAGTGGCTTCAGTGTTTGGCTCGTCATGTAAAGCATTCATGTCATTTTTATCAGTGATGACTCTGCGAGATAACCTAACAGGATCCCCATCAGGAGATGGCAACCAATCGGGAAGCCCTTCTGAGGCCATGCTAATGATGGAATCCCTGCAGAAAATTTCTGTCATCGATGACGAGGAAGAGCAGAGGTCAAGTTTGACTGATCTGCAAAGCAGAGCATCTTCTCAATTCAGAGAACGCTGGAAGGATTTCCAGATTCTGAGGGAAAGACTTGAGAGTGAACCTCTGTCTCCTAAAGTTTCAGAAACAGAGTTTGCCCTTGATGTTATCTCCGAAGGGGGTGATGTTTTTGAGGATCAGGTTATTGACGAGCTGATGGAGGAACTGAATATGCCACAAGACCTCAGAGAACAAATTTCTTCAACAATCCAACAAGCTAAAAGTTTCTACCCTGTAGAGGAGAGCACTTTTCTAGAAACAGAAAGAAACCAGTCGGACACAGAGGAAGATGTGGAAAAATTTGTTGAAGAATGTGATGATGAAACAAAACAATCAGACGAGCCTGATACTAGCTGCATAGCTGAGGACATTACTCAGACAACACAAGGTCATGATGATAGTGAACAAGCCAAGATGGCGTCTGAGTCAGAGCAAGAACCTGATAAAGTTGAGGAAACAGGCATTGATGCAAAAGAATCAGAAATATCACAGACAGAAATAGATGAGCCCTTAAAAGAACAAGAAAATGAAGAAGAGGAGCAAGTAGAGGAGGAAGGAGAGAGGGTGAATGACAGAGAGGATGGAGATCAAGAAGAGATAGATAATGATGATGGCAAAGCGACTGAAATGGGAGAAAGGGAAGGAGGGGAAGAAGAGGGAGTAGAGGAAGAAGAGGGAGTAGAGGAAGAAGAAAAAATGGATGACAAGGGAGAGGAGGAATGGGAAGCAGAAAACATAAATGAAGAGGGAGTAGAGGAAGAAGAGGGGGTAGTGACAGAAGAAAAAATGGATGACAAGGGACAGGAAGAATGGGACGCAGAAAACATAAGTGAAGAGGAAACTGTTGAAAAAGTAGAGAAAGAGGAAGTGATGACACTAGATGAGGAAGAAGAGGGGGAGGAGTTAGAAGCAGAAGAGCAAGAAGTGGTTGAGGAGACAGCTGAGGGATCAATGGAGGAAGAAGATCAAGAACCAAGAGAAAATGATAGTGTTGAAGAGACGGATGAGAGAGAAGGTGTCGATGAGACAGAGGAGGAAAAGAAAGGGGATGATGAGGTTGATGAAGAGGCAGATGAGGAAGAAAAGGGTGAGGAATGGGGAACTGAGGTGAAGAAAGGGGAAGAGACTGAAGAAGCAGATGAGGTTATTGAGACTGATGAAGGAGAGGAAGCAGATAATATCAACGAAGACGTGGGGGAGGAAGATAAGGATGATGCAGATGCTTTTACTGAGGATGCAGAAGAGGAAGCAGAGGAAGGCATTGAGGAAATGACAGAGGTTATTGAGGAAAAAGATGGGGAAGAGGAGGTCGAAAATATTGAAGAGATGGAGAAGGAGGAGGAGGAGGAGGAAGAGGAAGAAAAAGAAAACGATGTGGTCACTGATAAAGATATAGATGAGGAGGTTATTGAGGAAAAGGATGGGGAAGAGGGGGTTGAAAATATAGTTGAAGAGAAGGAAGATGAGGAGGAGGAAGAAGAAGAAGAAAAAGATGTGGTCACTGAGAAAGATGAGGAGGTTATTGAGGAGGAAAAGCTGGAAGGGCAGGAAAAAGAAACAGATGCAGTTACTGAGAAAGATGTAGAGGACGAGGTTACTGGGGAGGAGGAAGAGGAAATGGAGGTGGTTATTGAGGAGGATGATGTAGAAGATGTTGAAGAAAAAGATGAGGAAGAGGAAAAAAACGAGGTTAGTGAGGAGAACGATGAGGAGGGAGATGAGAGAGAACAAGAAGAGGAACAAGAGGAGGTGGAGGATCGTGAGGATGTTGAGGTTAAAAATATAGAAGAAAGGGGGATCACAGATGAGGAAGAGGAAGAAGAAGACGAAACTGACAAGAATGTAGAAGAGGAGGAGTGTGAGGAGGGTGAAGGAAGCGGGGAAGAGTTGGAGAAAACAGGAACTATTCTTGAGGAAGAATCAGTAGTAGAGAACGAGGCTGTAGAGGAGATGGAGCATGGAGAAAACACAACAGCAGAGAATACACTAGATGAAGATGAGGAAGGAAATGAGGATGAGGGAGAGGAAGACAATGAGCAGGAATCAAAGGATGAGGTAGAGGAAGAAAACGATGATGCAGACAGTATTGCCGATGATACGGATTGTAAAAAGCTACTAGAGGAGGCCTTGTATTTGCAGCAGGAGAGTAGCTGTGAAGAGGAAGCAAATATAGACACTAAGGTAGCAGAACATGACACTGAATCACCAACCAAATATTCCTCCGAGGGTCAATTTGAGGATGATAAAGGCAACGGAACAGACGCTGTTAACGAACTCGAAACAGACGAGGGAGGGGAGCATCACGAGGAGAGAGGCAGCGGTCTACCACATCCAGTGGAAATATCACAAGAACTACTTGACTTTGTTAACTCTGCCCTACAGTCCTCGTCACTCGTATTCACATATGACGCTCGGGGCAACATTAGGATAGAGCCAGAAAATGCTCGAGTTACGCAAACTAAACCAACTGTTATTCCAAAAAGTAAAGAGGATAGTTCGTACGGCTTAAAGCGACTCCCAAGCCCGAGCACCTCAGATTTGTCTGATTACAGGCCTGAAACATCCGAGAGTGGTGGATATAAAAGTCAGGAGTCTGTGGATATTGTCACAGAGAGCGGAGAAGAGGCTTCAGAGAGACATTTCCCAGTCTGCAGACATGAGACTGATTTCCCTAACCAGGCGTCCATTGCAAGTAGTTCAGAAGCCTTGCAAAATGCACAATTAAAGAGTGGAGGGAGTTTCTCTTCTACTGACTCAGGAGCTAAAGCCTCAAGGGAGGATCTGTCTTATTTCAGCGCTGCAAGCTCACAAAAGGCGGACGCCGAGCCAGCCACAGAGGCCACACAGTGCATTTCTTTCGCCTCAGACAAAGACTCAGCTGATGGGGTTTTGATCGACCAAGGTAGATGGCTGCTCAAGGAGAATCACCTCATCAGAAAATCTCCTCCAGTATCCCTGGGAATGTACGGTAATGTAGATAGCACATCTATAGATACGGGTCAGGAGAACAGCTGTGAGGATTCCCCACCTCATATTAAAACCCAGCATAACCTTCTTGCAGCCATATCCTCATCAGAGCTCGAGGAGATGGCGAAGCCTCCAACTCCGAAGTGCACCTACTACAACATGCCACATGGAAGCGATTCTGACCCCTTTATGGATGACTCGAGTTTCAAAAGTGGGAAAAAAGATTCAAGCAGTATCAAAGGGAGAGGTTTCAGGGTGTCACCTACGATTGATACTTCTAAAACATGGGCAAGTAAAAATGGAAGTCTGTCTTCATTTGCATCAGTTGAGTTTAAAATACAAGACAGAAAGGTGCATCCTGAAGGCGAGTCCTCAGCTGTGACACAGCCAAGGAGGACATCTAGTGGAGGAGGGGGTGTACTGCAATCACAAGACTCTCTGGACACACTACATGTGAGATGTGGTCAATACTGTCCCATACTATAAAACTATATGACATTATGTTTCACAGAAATATTCACACACACTGGCCGTGCATGTGTTATTAGTCTCGGCTATGATCATTTTATTGTAATGCAGCTAGAGATGTTTTTTCTTTGAACAAAAACTTTTCTTGCAGCCCCACCAGACCTACAGACATGTGTGGTGATTGAAGAGAGTTGTGCCTCTTATTTATGTTAAATATAGGTAAAAATGTCAGTCTACACACACTGACTTGAATGCTGTATTTTTGCGGTTACTCATGAGATACATCACAGATTTAAAGTAATTACAAAATCAAAAATATAAAAGAATAATATCAGCAAATAAGAACAACTTTTTTTTTTTACTGAATCAATGCATCTGACTGTATATCACTGTTCTAACTATAAATGCAAGTACCACAAGTCATCAGTTTCTTATTTGATATAATGCAACACATCAGAGAAATGACTGAAAGCAGATCTAATTGCTTGTTGTATTTTGTTTATTTTTGTAGTTTGTTTCTTTGGGTTCTTCCAGAATGTGCAATGCATATTCAGAGATAATTGCTTCCTAAGACAGCTGTGGATACTAATGTCCAGCTTGTTGTTCTGCAGCTCTTCTCTGGGTGTAAACAAAGGACTACTGTATGTCAACTGATAAAGTGAGAATGGATTTGTTCAGTGAAAACAAAATTGCATTATAAGGCAGCTTCTGACAAAATGTGGTTTTTGGCTGTATTCATAAAAAAAAATTCAATAAAACATGTTTCATTTTATAATTGTGTTTAAAATTGCCAGACTAAAACAGCAGTTAGTGTTTTTAAACCTACTAGGTTTTTCATACACTGTCTAACTATCTTTTGAAGAATCCTTGCTTTGCTGTGTGTCATCCCCTTTTCCTGTCAACCTTTGACTGTCCTAATGTCTAATAAGGCAGAAAGACACCCAAAAAATATTTCTAATACTCAAGGTCAAAAGAGATCAAAGAAAGGAAATATTGGACCTACAGTCACCATGTGTTCAGAAGCACAGCTTCATGATAATGTTGCTCAGTATCCCCTGGATGTCAAATAATCAATCAACTTGCTAATCAAAAGGTGATGATATGTAAGTGCTGTGTTCAACTTGTTTCCTCTGCCTGCAAGTGGCCACAATAATCAGTTATTTCAGGTTAAGTTTATTTCTAACCACCTGGTCATTCAACTGATGTGACATTTTCTATACTGGTGTCTTCTAAATTTAGACATATTCTTTTAACATAGAGTTAGTTGTTGAGATGAAATTCTCAAATGGTCTACTACTAACATTGTGATTTGTGTCATGAGTAAGTATGTGTGAGTTTCCTGAGTTTATTGCCTATGTGCATAAACCTGGGAGTGTAGGTCAGGAAGTATCTCTATACAATCAATATGCAATATACTTAATATTAATATTAAAATGTAAATCAGCGCTTTCTAAGTCTAAAAAAGTTATATTGCTAAAGGAACACATTGTTAATGGTTTTAAATTCAAAATCAGAAACAAAATAGAAACTATACATGTATTTCAATCACATTCATTTTAACACCACAGTTGCAAAAGAGGAGCTAATTTAATGGATTAATTCACTGCTGAAGTCAACCAGTCAAACCATCAGACATTAAATCAATAAGTCAGTCATAAAGTGTGTCAACTTAATAATAACATTGCAAAAAAAAATTTTTTTAAATCACAGGCTACAATTTTGTTTGCATACTACATTGTATTTTTTAAAAGCATATACAAAATATTCCAACAGTAATCTCCTGTCTAGAAATTACTTTTGGGTGTGAGACACAAACTGATGATTGCCTAGAAGCAACTCTGGACTGTGGTGACATTTGACTTTCATAAGGTTATTAACTAAGAGAAGCATGTGAATTCAGAATGAGCCTCAGGCTTACAATCTTTATATTTGGAACTAGAGTACAACAGAGCACCAAAGTCCCAACTCCAGCCCAGCCCGGACTCATCAAAAATCATGTTCAGGTGTCAAAAAAAGGTTATTTACTTCAATATTATTATGTAAGAATAGGTATTAGAAATGTATGTTTTTCTTCTCTCTTTACACTTAGGGTTTTGTCTCACTCTTATCCACTCATCCGGAGGCAGGTGAGTGTTCAGAGGAGAGAGTGTCATCTGCAGCTGTCAGTCAGTGATGCCCCCTGATGCAGTCAGGCATATGCAAGTGACACTTGTGATGTGATGGTCACTGACAGGCTGGCTGGAAATATGTGTGACCTGAGGATGTTATCCTTGAAAAAAAGTATGACCAAATGACAGCGGGTTGTTTGAGAATTTGATGCTGTATAGTTATAGTTATAGACGTTATGATGATTTTATGCTGATGACAGAGGCAAATGCTGGGAAGTTATTATTTTCCTGTGTCCCCTCCCTGTCCCTGACCCAATCACTCCCTGCAAACACACACACATGCACGGAGAGAGACAAAGAAAGAGGGAGACAAAGAGAGTGAGAGTGAAAGAGAGGTCTTTACAAAGTGACCATTCTGGATACTGTCCAAGGGTTTTGTCAGTCACTATGGAGATTCGGAAAAAAAGCCTCTGCAGTTTAATTCCTCTGTTGTTACTATGGTCGAAAGGTATCCAGTGGAAGCTACATTCCCCGAAATGAACGCCCTTCCTTACTGTGCTCATTGTGCTGACCACTGACACAAACATTGGAGCTTTAGTTCCAGTATGCATAAGGAAAATTACTTACTGAAAGTAGAGAAAATAAAATTCCTCATGATAGCAATTTAAGTAAAATACAACAAAATGAAAGCACTCCATTAAAAAAGAAAGTCTCTTCCAGTAAGTTAAAGTACTGTCAGCAAAACATTTTGGAGTTTTACTTTACTCCAAAATGGAGTACTTTGGGCCTCGAAAAGTTATTTAAATTAAAACATCTGAGATGTTTAAGCTAGTGTCTGTCATTCTGGAGAAAAATAATGGATTGTTGAGTCTCATTTGTCAACCCAAAGCATCAGTGTTTGATGACCTGGGAACGGGACTCAACAATCAACAATCTTTTTCCAGAATGACTGACCCCACCTTTAAGTGTAACTGCTAACAAATCATGTGAAATGTGACAACTAAACCAACTAGACACTCCTTTCCTTATAACAAGCCACAAAAGTTAAAAACAACTGGTTTAATAACATTATAATATGTTCTAAAAATGTAAATTTAATTAAAAGTATAATATTTCCATACATACTTATGGAGTGAATGTACTTATTTACTTCCACCACTGGTAATAACCTGACCAACACACACAGACTGGGGCCCCTGGCAGGATTTACAGCCTTTCTTTCTCACATTCAGATTTACTTCAGTCTGATCTCCATGCACTCAATGAGGTGCAACAAAGACATTGTGCTGCACCACTCCCTCCACTAAATCTGCCATGGTGTCACCCACAAAGAAGCCAACCAATTTAAGCCAACCAAAGCAAAATTTAAAAAAATTAAATGAAACAGCAAAACAAAAAACTAACTTTACCTAAGATAGAGACAAGTCGCTGCAAACGGCACACTACAAACACTAATTCCTGCAACTTTTTAAATACAGTACATCATAAACTTCCTTTGAAAGTTCATCGCTGTTAACAGGAAAGCCCCTGAGTCTGTCTCTGTCTTGGTTTTGGCTCAGGCAAACAATGTTGGGGACGATTGCTATGGCTACTGGGTGCGCGGGTCGGTGATTCACCATCATGGGGGATGAAACAAAGGATGCCTTTTTTGCTGTCCACCGCCTGCGGTTTTGAAACGATGACACCCAGAAACAAGATTTAACTTATCTGTTGCCCTGTCCCATTACAGGCTGACTGACTCTGATTCATGTTGCGTCTTATTTGATTCTTCTTCTAGCCCTGTTCTACAGCCATTTTAATGAGCTCCCCTGCAGTGTTGTTGCTTTGGAGAGAAACAGGAACCTCAGCAACAAAAATAAAAGGACCACGATAAATTCCAAACATTGCCAAGAATGGGAGCTATTTGGCCGAAACTGTGCCACTGGCAAACATCGGGCTACCAACAATAATTATGGCCTACTGTCTGCATTCTGTTGCTGCAGTTAGGTGACAGATCAGCAATACACAATCCCTGCTCTGTCTGTGACAATCCCGGCCTCCTCTGTCTGTCTCTGTGGCCAACCCTGGCAGAGCTGGCTCATAATGGGCCTGGGAGCAGGAATTTTTACAGCCCCCCCTGCCTCTAAGTGAGTGTTGATCATGTGAATTTCCATTGCCCGGTTTGGGGTTCCACTGTTTACTCATACAGGGGCCCCTGTGTGCGGCCCTCTAGCACCACTGGCATTGATGTTTTTGTACAAAAAAATACTTTTTGGATGAAATACTGTGCCTCCCTTTATCTGGCCACTATTTTCCGTTGTATAGTTTATTTAAATCTCATGTTAATAAAGAAATATAACCTCAAATCAACTTGTAAGAGATTTCCTTTTTTCTGTTTCAGGCATTATTTGTCCTTCAGTTTTTTCAAATCACACATTGTTTCAGGGGGCTTTGCAATCTGTACAATGTACAACGCTCACTGTCCTTATTAGACCCTTAATTTGGGCAAGGAAAAACTCCCCAATAGAACCCATTTAAAAGGGGAAATGAAAGAACCTCAGGAAGACCCACAGAGGAGGGATCCCTCTCCAAGGATTGACATACATGTAATAGGTGTTAAGAAAACCAAATTATACACAAATTTTGATGACAAATTTTCTGATACATGAAGAATGTACATCCAGGAGGACATTGAACAACTTCAGTAACCACTAGATTATTGTCGTACTGCTCCAAACTAAACTCTTTTACAGAGGATTTGTATCCAAAATAACTTCAAAGCTGTATAAGTGGTAGTGCCTTTACACTCCTGACACCTTGACTTTATTGGATTTAATAATTAATGTGATTGAGGAGAGAAAAAGAAAGGTCCAGTGATCTTACTTACTGGTACTTTACAAAATGTTGTCCTACAAGCAGTGGTTGAAAGTAACTAAGCACTTCAGTACAGTTTTAGTATGCAGTATTTCCATGTTATGCTGCTACTTCTATTCTATTTTAGCGAGATACATACTATACATTTATTTCACAGCTACA